TGTTATTTCATCAAGTTGCTACAAGGTTGTCACTCACAACTTGTTGACAAATTGATGAATTGCAGGACGAAACAAGTTGTTGGAAGAACCTGTAACAAGTCTGTTGAGCTCAACAACCTTGTAGCAAGTTGTGAACAAGACGCTGACAAGTTGTCAACAAGCTGGGAACAAGCAGTGCGAACACATCCTGTTGACAAGTTGTTGGAACAGCATTGCTACAAGTCTGCTGCAGGTTTGTTACAACTTGTGCGTTTTTACGTATGTATTTGTTTTTAGATTATTGAACCAAAAGCATTTGGACAGAAAGAGGATGCAATTCCTCTACATGGTGAAGACAGCGACTTGATGAGCGACATGACAGTCAGTATGTCGGACAATGCTGGAATAACGTCAAGACCTTCTCTACCTCCGATCTCCTCTTTCACATCACCGTGTGGTTTTGAAGGAATCCATAAAAGGTAATCAAGGTTGGCTTCTAAACTGTTCTTCCTAGAGATCCAGTAAGGTACATACTTTATTGTTCAGTGTTACTACAGCTGGAAACCTAAACTAACTTTATTTATACTGGATAGCTCTATCAGTTCTAAACTGTTCTCCCTAGAGATCCAGTAAGAATCATTTCTTATTGATCCAGTGTTACTACAGGAGGAAACCTAAACTAAACTAACATTTATACTGGATAGCTCTATCAGTTCTAAACTGTTCTCCCTAGAGATCCAGTAAGGTACATACTTTATTGTCCAGTGTTACTACAAGAGGAAACCTAAAGTAATGGCTAGCTGAATTTACTGAAAGATATATATATCCTATATATAGCAGTTCGACAAAAGTCATCCCTTCATTGATCTAGCATTATCACAGGAGGAAATTGGATCACGTGAACAATGTTTGCGGAGTTTGGTAGAGTCAAACTGGAAGCATTCTTCTCCTTCGAAAAATGTAAAAATTGCAACCAGTAGGAAACATATTTGGAAACTGGTTAAAAAATTGTTTTATTTTAAAAACACATTAACAAAATTTTAAAATAAAACAATTTTTAACCAGTTTCAACCTTCCAAACTTTACTTTTAACTTCCAAATATTCTTATCCTTTTCTTCTTCTTCTTTTGGATCCGGAATCGAATCCCAGACTCAAAAGTGAAAGAAACTCTATTGTGATTCAGAAAAGCTGAAAATTTTCAACTTTAATTGTATTTTCAGACTGGTATGTCCACTTACCAATGCAACCGACAAATCACAGGATATGAGAAGTTTACCAGACAACATTCCTCCATTGGAATTGGTAGAGCCGCCAGCCGTTGTCAATCCAAGTCTACACGCGCCAACACCTTTAACGTATTACTACGATTATTATTCGTCTTTTCCCTTCCAAGTTCCGTGTTGTGCGATTTGTAACTCGTGTTTTTATCAATTAAATTCTTCGTTCGACTGTCAAGATGCCCATTTGATCACGTCAGAGAAAACATGGCCGACCAACACGCTTCCGTGTGGATCTCCTGCGAATCTACAGCGCTCTCGTGCAGCTTCGGCGTTATTGGATTTGTCTTCAGTACCGAGAATGCCCGGAATTTAAACCAAGAAATGTACCGAAAATAACACGAAATTTAATGTTTATGACAAATCTGTTTCAACCATTGTAAATCGTTTTGTTGTGTTGCGTAGAAAAAGTGTTTATTTATCACAATGTTTTGTTCTGTAAATGATATAGTTCATTAAAATGTATTTTTTGTTGTACATGGTTCAATTTTTTTCTGTTTTTTTTTTCTTGGAACAGTCCAGCACGTTTAGACCAGTAGCTGTGTGGTCCAGATACAATTTTATTAAAAAACAACAACAAAGAATTTAGATGTTGAGAACTAATTGTCTTAGCTTCCTGTTTATTTATATATATATATATATATATATATATATATATATATATATATATATATATATATATATATATATATATATATATATATATATATATATATATATATATATATATATATATATATATAATATATATATATATATATTTATTATATTATATTCTGTAATGCGATTTACATATTTTGTTTACACTTTGTTATGATTAAATCCATCTAATTGGTTTATTTTTTTGTCACGTGATGCTTTCATACTCTTAGTATAAAAGCCCGTGCATTTTCCCCGATCCCTGCTACTAACTCTTGACGAAGGGCCTTCGCTCGAAACGTCGAGTTTCTGCTTGTTTTTTAAAGTAGTAATATAACCACTCAGCACAGCATTTTCATTTGGAGTTCTCGCTGTTGTGGGGAATTTCTGCAAAAAATACCTTTCCCACCTTAAATGGGGTTATACCACCAAACGCAGTAGCTTCGCGACCAAAGTGTTTCCTCCAAACTAGCAAGACTGGGATTACGTCGGGGAGGGGAGGGGAATGGGATCACGTCGGGGGGGGGACTGGGATCACGTCAGGTGCAGATTGTTTTTTCGAAGATAATCCCATTGAACTATAAACTGGAAGGCTAACTGCTATGATGAAGGCATATGATTTGATGAAGCCAAAATAGTTTTTCTGAGTTATGAGCAGAAATACTTGATCCCAAACGTCGGACTATATATCAAATTGAAGCTATTGAAAATTGCTATTCGGTGTGGAAATTTCAAGACTTCAGCGATAACATCCAATCACGCTGCACTTAACACCGATTTACCCTTTCCAGTAAATAAAATAGAAATTTTCGACAACTGCAGGGTTCGATCCCGCGCTAATTATGCTAATCGTGTGCTAAGGTTTTGACCGCAATGTTACCGAGATCAGTAATTTGATCGTGCCATATTGAATAATTTTTTTCATAAATATCCCACCATGCGTTTGTTTAAAGAATTACATTCTATATGGCAACTTTATTGTTTATATAGTCAAATAATTATTACAGGTACGTCTTTCGTCGCTTGACTAAGCACAGGTCAAGCTTGAAAAATTGTGTTCACAAAAATTATATATACAAATTCGTTTGTATTATTATAAATATTTCCTTGTTTCATTGTAATTATTTTATTTGGAGTACATAGCCTTGGATAAATTATGAATACCATATTAAATAAATTTGGATGAAATCTCAAATTGGCTTTGCCTTTTGACATGTAAGTACATCGACCAAACAATTACACACATAATAATTTTAATATCATAATTATTACACATTTTGAGAAATTATATTGGACAATTTCTCAAGTGGATTTTCTTTCTTCTGAACGCTACCCATGTAAAATAACGTGGAACAAAGGGGAAAGAATATATCTTTTCATATAAGTCTTCATTGCGGTTAGATTTTGAAGCATAGTCAATCACAAAATCTTGTCTGAAAATTCATACAAAGTCTTACGCCCCGGTCAAACGAGAGTTGACGAGAGTTGACTGGATATTACCAGTCAAACTGTCATCAGTTCTCGTCAAAATTTGAACCAGCTCAAAGTTGATAAGAGTTGATAAGATGGATAATATCTAGTCAACTCGCACGCAACTCTTGTTCTCGTTTGACAGTGGACACAAAAGTTGAGAAAACTGTCGTGCAAACTCCAACTTGTCAACTCTCATGTAATTCTTGTTCTCGTTTAACCGCGGGGCATGAGAGTTGAGAAAGCTCTCATGCAAACTCTCGCTTCTCAACTCTCATGCAAACTCTCGCTGCTCAACTCTTATCAACTCTCATGAAATTCTTGTTCTCGTTTGACCGGGGCACGAGAGTTGAGAAAATTCTCATACAAAATCTCGCTTCTCAACTCTTATCAACTCATGCAATTCTTGTTCTCGTTTGACCGCGGGGCACGAGAGTTGAGAAAGCTCTCATGCAAACTCTTGCTGAGTTCCAACTCGTTTTACCAGGGCTAAAGACTTGCATATGTTTTTCAATGTAGTGAATGTAGTCAATGACAGTAGTGATGATGTTATGGATAAATGTTGTAATCCTTCTTAGTTACGTTCCTTCTCTAGTTCAAGGTAGGTTTATCATGTATATAGTTTCTTTCATCCATTGTAACGTATAAAATATTGATTCATGCTCTTTGATTTTCGAATTATTGACCCATCTAAAACTGGACTATAGTTTAAGATGGCCTTTAACAAAATGTTGCCTTGATGAGATAGTCCTCTGTTAGATAACTGTTGAAGGCTAAGATGTCAAAGTATAATTCAATTCAATTCAATTCAATTCAATTGAAAGCTCTAATTTGGGATAGTATAGGTGGCATTCTATAATGGTTGATAGGCCTATCTTTAGACGCTGCATGACATATCACCACTGTATATAAATGTAAGAGATTTTGTTATGAATTTTTAGGACATGGTTATCTGATTGATCGAGATTTCATTGCCAAGAAAGATGGCTTTAAATTTAATTTACATTCTGGTTATGGCGTCGTACGTGGAAAAGGTATATCATAATTCGTAAAAATGTGAGACTATAATGAATCCAATTAGCATTAATTGCGAGAGTTGAGCAAAGAAATGAAGGACAGAAGTTATAATGAGTCTGGTGTATTAGCAGGGCCGCCGAGAAGGGGGAGTGCAAATTGCCCCGGGCCCCGAGGATCTGGGGCCCCCTAAAAATTTAATGTTGGGCCCCAGTCATTTTTTCGGGCGAAATATTTCTGTTTTCGGACCGAAATATTTGTGTTTTGGGGGCAAAGTACCGAAATTTGGTATGGAAAATTGCGGAAAAGTCCCACGAAAGCAATTACAACGTACACTTGTCCTAAAATTTTTTTTTTACCTAAAAAGAAATTATTGCCCGAAAAATTTTTTTCCGGAAAATCTTTTTGTAATAGGGGCCCCTAAAAAAATTTTTGCCCCGGGCCCCCGCCAAGCTCTCGGCGGTCCTGTGTATTAGTCCAGTTTTTCTGGTGTATTAGTCCAGTTTTTTCTTTTTATCAGAGAAAATCTGCAGTGTTTGGTAGAGTCAAACTGGAATCACTCTTCTCACATGTGACTGAAGTGAAATTATAATCAGACAATTGCATATTGTGTAGGAATTGAACCTCAATCACAGAGATGAAACACAAGCACTGTGTTACCAATATTTAAGTGCGTCATGCTTTGGGAATGAAAATAAATTTTTATTACCCAACCCTCGTTTTGTTTTTCATTTACCCAACCTTTCACTGACTCAAAATTTTGTTTACGCAACCCTTTTCTCTTCGGTGCCCCGCCAAAAATAATGAGCACTCAAGAAAGTTTTCCACGAAAAGAAAATTTCCCGGAAATATCATTGTTAAAAGTTGAACATTTTCAACTTCAAAATTTTTTTCCGACGGAAAATTTGTGTCGGCCAATCACATTTTACAAAATCTTCTTTCCGACAAAAAAAATCCCTGAGTGGAAATGGGCCTTGGGGCTCCAATCTGACACAAAATCTTTCTAGGATTCCACAGTCTTGGTTGCTGGAAAGACACGTGGATCAGAGCAATACAACCACTGGAGAAAAGACATGAACTATTGATGAACGGAGACTACAAACTGCGAGAGGATCCATTAAGAAAGTGTGCTGTAGCAGCACTTGATAACAAGATGAAGTTGTTTGCTATTGAAAATGGAGGACAGTGTCTTGGTGATACAACTATCACCTCTTCTTATAAGAAATATGGAGCGGCCGATCATTGCAAAGGTAGGACGCTCTGAATTGCGTTTAATTTAATTTTAATATGCACTGCCATATTGAAGACTTATAAAGTGTGCATGCTTAACCAGATTAACGCCCGTATTCTAAAAGCTCACTCACACTCAATGGTGGCAGTTTAATCTGAGTTTCTCTTGAGTGTCATTGCTGTTTTTGAATAGCTGGAGGGCTAGTCTCATACCTTACTATGTGACTACTCACCCTCCAGCTATTCAAAAACAGCATTGACACTCAAGAGAAGCTCAGATTGAACCTCCACTCATTGAGTGTGAGTGAGCTTTCAGAATACAGGCGTAAGATTTCCCACAAGCGTAAAAGCTTTCTTCGAAGAAAACCTCCACCATCATGATATACTGGAGATATAATAAGTGTTTTAAATCCCTCGGTCTATACCCTTTATGATTTAAGAAAATCTTTATAGACAAACTGTTTTATGAGAATGCACTTTGACAAAGTAATATATTTCTAGGAGCGTTTGTTTTGTAAACCTAGGTTTGGATTTTTAGGATTCGGATTTTTTGGATTCGTTAAACAAATGGAACGAACTGTGAGAATCCGATGAACTGCCTATTTCTATAGTCCTCCGCTGGGTGTGTACATATACCTTGCGGTCGGGTCAAGGTACATGCTAGAAGGCCAGAAGCTCAAAAGAAACGTTGAATCCTAATCCAGTTTGAGATTGAATCCGAAAAATCCATATGTTGAGGTGGATTCACCAGATTCGAATCTATTCTAAGATTTTGTTAAATGAAACTGAAAATCGATAATCGGATTTGAAAATCCAAATTCGGATTGCACTAAAGGAACGCTCTTTGTCATTTCAGATGACGGTTATGGAGGGCCATGGAGTATGCAAGTTTATGGGTAAATAATATGGGTTTATTGTTTTTCTTTACGTTGTTCGCATCAAAGCCAGGACAATCTGAAGCCA